CCTTTCAACAGAAACAGAGAGCGCTGCCCTGAGCATCCATGGTGCTGGCTCACCGGGGCCCAGACCAGCAGCGATGGCCACTTGCGGGTGACGTCGTGCAGTCGTGACACCGAGGTGACGCTGGGGGTGAGTCCAGCTGCCAAGACCACATCCTGGCCCACGTCCAGGCCTACATCCCACAGTGAAGCCTGCAGCCCAGCACTGACAGGCGGCTTGGGGAACTGACAAAGCCAAGTGGGTACCGCCGCAGTTTATGCACATGTAAACCATGTGTTCTTCCGGAAAGAAGGGCTCTTCCCTCCCACTCTGGAGGGCCATGCTTCCCCAGTGGTGCCCAAGGAACTAGGGCCTCCCTGGCATCCCAGCCTTGCTGACCCCACGGGCCACTGCCCTGACAGTTCCATATCACCGTGGCCCTCGATGCAGCCCGCCAGCACCATCCAGTGCAGTCTTTCCGTCCATAAGCACAGCCCCTGAGGCCTCATCCACACACGCTCGGGTGCTCCCACCCAGATTCTGCTTTCCCATGCCTGGTGGTGGGCCCAGTGCACCTTCACAGAGCTGCTGCCTGGAACAGTCATCCGTCTGGGGTATCAGGCCTGCAACCCAGGCATGTGCTCGTGGCGGCCCTAGTCTATTACTAGTATAGATAGAGGCCCGGTGCATGAAATTTGTGCACAGGGGGTGGGAGGGAGGTGTCCTTCAGCCCAGCCTGCACCCTCTCCAATCTGGGACCACTTGTGGATTCGGGCCTAAATAGGCAGTTGGAAATCCCTCTCACAATCCAGGACTGCTGGCTCCCAACCACTTCTTCCTGCCAGCCTGATCACCCCCTAATCACTCCCCTGTCAGCCTGATCGATGTCTAACTGCTCCCCTGCCAGTCCGATTGCCCTTAACTGCCCTCCTCTGCCAGTCTAATTGCCCCTAACAGCCCTCCCCTGCCAGCCTGATCTCCCCCAACTGCCCTCCTATGCAGGCCTGGTCCCCCCTGCCAACTGCCTTCCCTTACAGGTCTGGTCGCCCTCAAATGCCCTCCCCTTCTGGCCATTTGTGGTGGACATCTTGTGTCCACATGGGGGTGGCCATCTTGTGTCTTGGAGTGATGGTCAATTTGCATATTACCTCTTTATTATATAGGAGGAGTGCAATAGGGTAGTGAACAACTGGTTGGGAGGAACAGAGTAAAGGAGGGGAGGGATGGAAATAACTAATACTGTAACAAAAAAATTTTTAATTTTTTTTAAAAGACAGATGCTTCCTTTAATCCTTCTGCACACATCCTCCCAAAATTCTTGTTAACCGACCATGACAACATTATACTGATTTTCATGGTAATCACATCGTTACTTCTTTTTTTTTCCCCCTAAATGTTTTTACTGATTTTAGAGAGGAAGGGGGGATAGATAGAAACATCAATCAGCTGCCCCATGCATGTCTGGGGTATCAGGCCTGCAACCCAGGCATGTGCCAGTAACCTCTTGGTATGTGGGCTAACCCTCAACCAACTGAGAGCCACATGGGCCAGCGTGCAGTTACTTGTCTTAGTTTTTCTGTTTATTTTTATTTTATTTCATTTTTTTGTTAATCCTCACCTGATGATATTTTTTCCATTTTCAGAGAATGGAAGGGAAGGAGGGAAAGAGAGAAATATCAATGCAAGACACATCAACTGGTTGCCTCCAGCAGGCAAATAGGGATTGGAAAGCAAACCCACAACCCAGATATGTTCCCTTGACCAGAAATCGAACCCACAACCCTTTGGTATGCAGGCCAACACTCTAACCACTGAGTCACGCCAGCCAGGGCTTTTTCTATTTATCTTTTATCTCTTTTAATTTATAGATTTACCCTTCATTCCTTTTCCTCTCTTGATAATTAATTTTTTTTTATTATTCATGTTGTTTGAGAGAAAGAAACATCAATGTGAAAAACATTGATTGGTTGCCTCCCCCATGGTCCCAACCAGGAATTGATCCCAAGACCTTTCTGTGCATGGAATAATGCTCCAATCAATTGAGCCACACTGGCCCATACAATTATTTGCTTTTTAATATAATTTTATTGATTTCAGAGAGAAAGGGACAGGAGGAGAGAGAAACACCAATGATGAGAATCATTGATTGGCTGCTTCCTACACATCCCACACTGGGGATCGAGCCCGCAAACCAGGCATGTGCCCTGTCTAGGAATCAAACCGTGACCACCTGGTTCATAGATCGACACTCAACCACTAAGCCACACAAGCTGGGCTGCTCTATATATATACACACACACACACACACACACAAAAACACACACACACACATACATACAGCTTTATTGAGATATAAAATTAACCTGTTTATACAGGCCTTAAAATTAACCTGTTTTTAGTGATTTTAAGTAAATTGACCAAATTGTGTACCATCACCACAATAGTTTTTTGTAATATTTCTATCACCCCAGTAATATCCCTCCTTCCTATTTAATCTCCAGTCCCTCTCCCAACCACTAATCTACTTTTTGTCCCTATAGATTCGCCTTTTCTGCACATTTCCTACAAATGGAATCATGTGCCCTAGCCAATTTTGCTCAGTAGATAGAACATCGGCCTGTGGACTGAAGGATCCCAGGTTCGATTCTGGTCAAGGACACTGATAGATCCTCCCTTCCCCCAACTGATGGACGGAAAATGACGTAAACTCCACCTGCAGCCTGGACTTTCCTGAGCACCTAATTAGGCACCTTATATGGACTGTACATTGAACCACCAATCAGCACCTGCCAAATACCCTAAGCCCCTGATTCCTAAGTCTCTAGGTCCCTAATCATGTGCCTTATCTGAAACCACCAATCAGCATGTGCTGAGTGCCGGGAGCCGGTCCCTTCCTTTTCCTCCCCTCAAAAGGCATGTTCACCCCGGCACGTGTGCTCTTTCCCTCTGGAAAAGGTCTTCTCCACCAATAAAGCCCGAGTCCTGGCATCCTGGTTCTCCACCATTCCGTTTCATCTTTCAGACACATGCCCAGGTTGCAAGCTCGATCTTCAGTAGGGATCATGCAGGAAGCAGCCAATCCATGATTCTCTCTCATTATTGATATTTCTAGCTCTCTGTCCTCCCTTCCTCTCTGAAATCAATAAAATTATATATTATTTTTAAAAAGTAAATGGAATCATGTGACCAGCACCTTTCACTTAGTGTGCATGTATGGCACTTTGCTCCTTTTTTATGGCTGAATATTCCACTGTAGAGATATACTGTATTCTGTTATCTTGCTACGTGGGTGGTTTCCACATTTTGGCAATTCTGAATAATGCTGCTGTGAACATGTTCATCCAAGTTTTTATATGGATATATTTTTTTTTCTCTTGGGTAGATACCTAGAAATAGAGGTGCTGGGTAATAAGGTAATTCTATGCTTAATTTTTTTTTCTTCAATCCTCACCCAAGGATATTTTTCCACTGATTTTTATGTTTTAATATATTTTATTGATTTTTCTTTTTACAGAGGAAGGGAGATAGAGAGCTAGAAACATTGATGAGAGAGAAACATCGACCAGCTGCCTCTTGCACACCCCCTACCGGGGATGTGCCTGCAACCAAGGTATATGCCCTTGACCGGAATCGAACCTGGGACCTTTCAGTCTGCAGACCGACGCTCTACCACTGAGCCAAACCGGTTTCGGCTTTCCACTGATTTTTAGAGAGAGTGGAAGAGAGTGGGAAACAGAGAGAGATATCAATGTGAAAGAAACACATTGATTGGTTAACTCCTGCATGTGCCCTGACCAAGGCCGGGGCTGGGGAAGAGCCTGCAACTGAGATATGTGCCCTTAACCAGAATCAAACCCCTTCAGACTGAGGCTCTATCCATGACCCAAACCGTCTAGGGCTATGTTTAAAATTTTTTTTTAACTGCCAAACTGTTTTCCAAAGGGGCTTCACCATTTTACATTCCACCAGCAGAGTCTGACAGTCTCCATTTTTCCAAATCCTTACCAACACTTGTTTTTGTCTGTCATTGTGATTACAGTCATCCTAATGGATAGGAAGTGAAATGCTAATTATTTCTTGAAGAAGCCAACCATGTATCCCATAGAATCCTCAGTTTGTATGTTACTCATCCCCATTGTATCATATGACTTCCTGTATCCCTTGAATTTCCTGTTAATTAGTATTCAGTTGAATGGTATCAAATTGTCAATATCCAAAATTTTTAATTCGAGCAAATCTTAGCACATCTCCCTTAGGACAACAGAAGGAATCAGTCTGCTATTCTATCTGATATCAGTAAGAACGAAAATGTTAACTGGTGATGTCACAGGGGATCCTTTCTGAGGTTTTCCAAAACAATAACATGTATACATGGAAAACTTTTTAAATAGAATAGAGCAAAGGTATACACGGAGAAAAGACAGTCTCCCCAGGAATTCTTGTACCTCATGGTGGGAGTGTGGACTGAGGAAGCAATCTGTCAATACCTGGTGAGATTGGTAGCTGTGCTCTTTAGCCAGGCACCGTCTCTCTTGGGTATATATCTGCGGCAGACTCTATTCCATTCAAACTCCTCACTTCCCTCCCTCACAAGAGGATTTACGTACAGCCCATAGATACCACGCTTAACCATGTGACCTATTTCACTCAATAAAATGTGAGCAGAAGTGTTAAGAGCCTGAGCACTGTTTCCTTCCCCATAGTGCCCAGAAATGTGCCGGATAGAGGCTGCCTCCACCCCAGAGTGAAAACAAAGTGGAACAGCCACAACACCAGATACAAAGCACACAGCCTGATGAATCAAAGCTGATCAAAATAAGAGTCAGTATAGAAGTCTCTGGAGAAGTGGAAAGAAAAAAATTCAATGATATAAATAACCATTATGTACTTCCAACTGTAAAATTCTACCAGCCACCGCTTCCAGGTTGAACTCCGAAGTGTCAGGCAGAGATTGGTTGGGCATCATCAGGTAAATAGAAAAATATCCAAGCTCTGCCTCCAGGCGCTGATGGAGAAGAAGCAGGTCAGGCCTAGAAACAAAATGAGTATGAGGCACTAGAAAGGGCGGTCCTCCTCTTCTCCCTCTCCCCAGTGAGGGGAATCAGTGGAGAAGTCTGCCTGAGGCTCCCCGATGTGACCTCATCAGGCCCACAGGTCTGCCAGAGAAAAGGAAGGTAGCAAGCAGCTCAAAAGGGCAGCAAGAACTAAATTGAGTCAGAACGGAAAAGCGGGTTGCGGATCTTCCAAGGACTCTCCCTGTATTTTATAGATATGGAAAGGAGAGCTGCAGGCAAAGTGTGGCTGCTTCTACCCAGCATGTGCGATGTTTGCAAAGGGAGCAGAGGAGGGTAGCTACCTCCCAAGCATAGACCGAAGGAGCAGATATGACGTAAATCTCACTGGAGTCTCCATCTTCAGGGCGATTCCAATCTACTGACGGGCTGCCAGAAATAAAAGAAAGAAAAGAAAAAAAAAGACTCATGCTTTTTAAATTCTCAGATCTTTTCCTCACCCACCACGGAGGGGAACCCAAAGCCAACTAGAGAAACTGTGAGATGAAAAGGGCTAGAGTCGCCCTAACCGGTTTTGCTCAGTAGATAGAGCCTTGGCCTGCAGACTGAAGGGTCCCAGATTCGATTCCGGTTAAGGGCACATCCCCGGTCGGGGGCGTGCAGGAGGCAGCTGACTGATGTTTCTCTCTCAAGGATGTTTCTAACTCTCCCTCTCCTTTCCTCTCTTTAAAAAAAACATTAAATATATATACTTTTTAAATGGAGTCGGGAAAGCCCATCAAGGAATCAAGCCAATCGTGCAATGGAGATGGATGCAAGCAGCCCTTGGAGGCGCAGCCCCTCACCTCCGGTCCTCCCCGGTTCTCTCCTGCGTCCTCAGGTTGTTGAGCGCATCAGGAAGCGCCAAGACCGATGGATCCGGGGTGCCCGGCAGCAAGCGAGGCCCCGGACCTCGGCCAGGGCCACGGCGTCGCACCTGGACCAGCAAGAGCGCAGCGCCGGCCAAACCTGCGGCCACCAGCAGCCCCAAGGCCGGCGGCAGGAGGAGGTGCTGCGGGCCGCCCTGCGGCAGGCGCGGCGGGGCCGCCGGCAAGGTGCCCCCGTGGCCGCCGTCGTCGTCCGCGCCGTCGGGGCGAACCGGAAATTCGCAGCGCGCGCCCATGTAGCCGGGCGCGCAGGCGCAGACCAGGCCGGAGAAGTGGGCGTAGCAGCGGCCGCCGTGGGCGCAGGGCCGCGCGGCGCAGGGGTCGGCGCGCTCGCGGCAGTCGCGGCCGCCGAAGCCGAGCGCGCAGGAGCAGCGCCGCGCGCCGCCGCCCTCCACGCACGTGCCGCCGTTGGCGCAGGCGCGGCCCGCGCAGTCGTCCAGGTCGCGCTCGCAGCGCGGGCCCGCGAAGCCGGCGCGGCAGCGGCAGCGCAGGGCGTGGCCCAGGTCCAGGCAGAGCCCGCCTGTGGAGGAGGCGTGTCAGGGGCCAGTCCCGGGGAGGATTTCCCCCGCCCGCCCCGGGGTTTCGCAGCTGGGTCAGCCCCGTCCGCACCGTTTCCCTGGTTTCCCGCTTATCTCTACCTAACTCCAGGACCAGCCGCCGGAGTGTGCTTGGAGGGTCTTGCCCTCGGGTGAAGTCTGGGATTAGCGTAACTCGGCCTCACCGGTCCGCTGCCTGTGTCTCTTTTTCTATCCGCCTGAACGACGGGTCCGAACCACCTGGCCTTGGCCCAGGCCTTCTCTCTTTCCCTTCCTTCTTTTCTCCATTCTTTACGGGTTTCTCCTCCAGAGCTCTACCTTCAGGTCTGCTCAGATGTCCCCTCCTCCAGGAAGCCCTCCAGCAATCTCCCTCCATCCCATTCCTGCACTCCCCATCACTACTCTGGGTTGTAGCTGAGTATGACCCTTCTTTGTCTTCCCCTTTGAGCTGATACCCCCATGAAGGCAGGGCCCAGAGCTGTCCTGGTCACTGCTGAATCCCTAGTATCAGCCCAGAATGAATACTCTGTGTTTTGGTGATAATTGGTTATAATAAAAATGCACCAAGCTCTTTACATTAATATTAAAACGTTTAGAGCGCCTAGTTCAAATCAGGTCTATCCATCTTTTTCTGGATAAAACCAGAATCCTCCCCCAGGGCCCATGAAGTTCCATAGGATATGTCCTGGTCACCTCCTGACCTCATCTCTCACTGCGTCAACCACACTGGGCTTCCCTGAGATCCTCAACATACGGGGCACGTTCCTAACTTAGGGTCTTTATAACTTGCTGTTCCCTCTGCCTGGAACATAATCTTCCCCCAGATCCCACACTGCTCCCTCCCTCACTACCTTCAAACTAATATGTCAACCTGCCTCCATCCCATATATACTCCCCATCCCCTTTCTGGCTTTATTTTTTCTTATTTTATCACCATCTAACCTCCCACACATTTACATATTTATCTTGTTTGCTTATCTGCCCCATCAGCTCTATGAGGGCGGGGCTTTGGTTTCATTCCCAGTGCCTAGAACAAAGCCTAGCACATTGTCGGTGCTCAGTAAATATTTACGGGAGAGGACTATTACCTCGCCCAGTTGGTAAAAGAACAAACTGAGGCTGGGAAGAGGGGCACTTCTCCAGGCCCTGGGGCTAAAGGAGGCAAAGGCAGGGCTGTCACCAGGACTGTCTGAACCAGGCCCCGCTCTTGCACACTGACCTGCAGTGACCCTCATCCTCATCCCTGATGTTCTGGTCTCCCCACCTCACCATTTTGGCATGGCTGCAGGCTGCACCGGTCGATCCTCTTCTCACAGTTGGAGCCTTGGAAACCAGGTGGGCAGTGGCAGACGTAGGCAGAATCCGGGTCTGTGCCTCCCACACACAAGCCACCATTGAAACAAGGTCCGTCCGCACATGTCACCCCACTCACCTCACACTGCAACCCATAAAACCCACGGGGACAGGCACATTTGAAGGATCCGGGCGTCTCCTGGGCAGAGGCAAGAGGAGGTTAGATTGGGTCTCCTCGGAGCAAAATCCCATCCCCTTCCTTAGTCTTAACCCTGGGGGCTTCTCCTTATCAGGACTCACCTCCCAGCATGCAGGGGCCTCACCTAGAAAGCTCTCCCAAGACCACCCTTCCCTCTCTCTATGTTTCTGGTCTGCCCATCCACCCACAGGGCAGAGGTGCTGAAGGCCCTGAGAGCCCATTCCCACCTCGACTCTTTAGCCTGCCAACTGTTGCCTGCCTCGTCTGCCCTCCCCAACTCTGTCTGCAGAGCCAATCCTGAGCTCCTAGCCCTGAGCCACCTTCTTCCATGGATCCTCCTTAGATCTCTCCTTCGAAGGCCCTTCCCCTAATGTGAACCCTGAGTATGTCTCCCTGTTCCATGCTGTCACTTACTGGTCTACCCTCTGCAGTCACCTCCCCTCAGCCAAATTGGATTTCAGAAGCCCCAGCTCTAGGCCCATCTCCAGGAAGTCCTCTCTGATACACAACCCACCCCAAATCCCCACAAGAAGGACAGTTTGTGGCCCCTCGGGACTCACATTCCCACACTACACCCTTAGGTGCCACCTATTGGGTCTACTATCCCCAATCCCATTCCTAGCATCCCATCCTAGATGCAAACTGGACAGCTCTAGGAAGCCCTCCCCAACAGCTGCCCCAACCTTCCCCAGGCTGTTGTCTCATGGAGCCCCCGTCAGGGGATGGTGGGAACTCCCAGGGTAAAATACTGCTTATCAGGAAGAGGCGGGGGGTGGGGGGGGTGATACTAACACTACAGCTGCCCCCGTTGGCACATGGATTGCCATCACAAGGGCCAGGACCAGGCACGAGGCATCCAGCGACAGCAGAGAACGGGCCCCTGGAGCTGAGACAGGTGCTGGTGGAGACAGGGACTGTGCAGAGGGGCCCGGTCCAGCCCTCCAGGCATTGACATTCCTCAGGCCGCTCACAGAAACCGTGCTCTGGGCTGCAGCCGGCCCGACATGCCGCTACGGGGGACAGAGAGGCAGAGGGAAAAGGAATATTGATGAGGGCAGAGATGTTTCTAAGTGCTTTCTGTGCACCATCTTGTTTCATCCTTTTGACAGACAACCCTCTGAGCTAGATGCCATTGTATCCCCCAGTTAACAGGGAAACTGAGGCCTAGAGAGGTGGAACGACTCGCCCAGCTGGAAAGTAAAGGAGTGAGGAGTAGACCCAGGCCACTGGGCTCCAGAGGTGGTGCTGGTGGATGAAGAATGTGGAGTTCATCCAAGGTCTGAGCCTGGAAAGGGGAGAATGAGGGAAGGGCACCTGGGGTTGGGGAGGGACCCTGGCTTTTATGGGAGATGGGAAGGTCTTGGATTAGGGCAGGTCTGGGAAGATCTGGATTAGCCTAGGAGTCCTGGGAGCTTTGGTGGGGCTTAAGACATTTGGGGAGCTGTCTGGGGATTCCCAGGATGGAGGTTGGGGATCCCAAGCTTTAGAAGGCTAAGGGGTCTGGCCTGCATTTGCAGGGAGGGAGGGTGAAGGATCCTTTAGGGGGCAAAGCTTCTGGGTGGGGTTAGGGAGGGCCCCAGAATTAGGACAGCTCTGTTGGTCCTCACTTCTGGAAATGGGTGTGGATTAGGGGAGGAAGGGGGGTACCAGCATGGAAATGGGTATGGGACTTCTGTTTGGGGCAAAAAGAATGCTAGGAAGAGGAAAGGGGGCTGGAGTACCAAGGCAGGGCTGGAGAGTAGTTTAAGGTCCTCAGTTTTTCGGAAGCAGATAAGCTTGATCAGGGAAGGGAGTAAGGCCCATGAGTGAAACGAGAGTGGGGCCTGGGGTACTTGGGCAGCAGTCAGTGGCATTCCCCAGTTTCCTGGAGTGGGGTTCTGGGGGATCTGGTGAGGGTTCTCCAGTCCGTCGTTCCCTGAAGAAGGCTGCAAAAGGAGTTGGGGCAGAACTCAGGACTCACGCTGCGCCTTGCACTCGTCCTCCACCGGCGCGCAGGGGCGCAGTCCCGGGCTGCACCGCGAGGAAGCGCTGCGCGAGCGGCAAAGGCGCGCACACGCGGCCCCGACGGCCGGCGGCTCGCAGCGCGCTCGGTAGGAGAAGCGCAGCTCCCAGGCACCGGCGCGCTGCACGTCCCGCGCCCACGCGCCCCCGGCCGCCAGGCGGCGGCGGCCGGCCACGCGCGCCAGCAGACTCCAGGCGGGCCCTGCGGAGGGGAATGATGCTGAATGCCCGGCCAGATGGCCGCGCACTCAATCTAGCCATAAAGCCGTAGCGCGCCTGCTCGCACTCTTTCTGGCCCCTCTTAGCAAGGCCCAGCCACCCCTTTCAACCCTGGAATGGTAGTGAACCCCCCTACTGCGCCCTGAGACCTTTGATATCACAATCCCATTTAGTACCCAGTGACCATCACTATGATCACAGCTCTTCCATAGAAGCCAAAATACCCCAATGTTTTGCACTACAATCTGTGCGCGCGCGCGTGTGTGTGTGTGTGTGTGTGTGTGTGTGTGTGTTGTTTGTGGTTAATCCTTACCTATTTTTCTTCCCATTGGGTTTGTTGTTGTTTTTTAGAAAGAATGGAAGAGAGAGGGAAAAACAGAGAAATATTGATGTGAGAGAAACATCAATTGGTAGCCTCCTGCATGCACCCTGACCAGGGCCCTGGCTGAGGAGGAGCCTGCAACCGGGGCATGTGCCCTTGACCAGAATCGAACCCAGGACCCTTTGGTGTGCAAATCAATGCTCTGTCCACTGAGCCAAACTGGCTAGGGCTGCGCCACAATCTTTGTATTTTAGTGATGAGACCTCTAACACCCTGTGACACTTGCTGTGTCTATATGGCCAAGGGAAAATAATGGGTCTTTTGAAGTGAGATCATAATATTCCCAAAATGTGCCTTGGGATCTTCCTATATGAAAATGGTGACAGAGACCCCAATTACTAAAACATAAATTACTCTTATTGCTTGAGGACTTGGAAATACTGGGAGAGGAGCAGTTTCCTCCCATCAAAGTTTCACACACCAATATTGTGCCACAGCTTTCTATATCAAGATGATGACAACTCTACCCTAGCCGGTTTGGCTCAGTGGATAGAACGTTGGCCTGCAAAATGAAAGATCCTGGGTTCCATTCCGGTCAAGGGCACATGCCTGGGTTGTGGGCTTGATCCCCAGTAGAGGACATGCAGGAGGCAGCCGATCAATGATTCTCTCTCATCATCACTGTTGTTTCTATCTCTCTCTCCCTCTTCCTTCTTCTCTGAAATCAATAAAAACATATATGTTTTTAAATGATGACCCACGTGGGCTTTACATGACATCAAATTCCCCGAACTAAGGATAAGATCACCTCATATCTCTCCCTGAAACCTTTGCTCAATATTTTCCCTGATAAAACCGCAGCAGCCATGCTCCCTGAGGCCTCTATGTGGACACAGTGACAGAGCTTTGTGTACAAGAACCAAAAGTATTGTACCCTTGGTTCTCAAAATCAGATGGTGGCCGAGCATTACTGTCACTGTGAGCTGCTGTATAGTAAGTGTTCCTATCTATCACTATTGGGACCACAGACTCCTACATCCAGTACCAGGACATTTCTGTATGGACAAGGCAAGAGCCCTGGAGCTGTCAACACCCAGCACCATCCTCCAGGAGCTATGCTGACATCAGGGGTCCAGCAATCTTGTGAAAACCCCCTACGGACAACCCGTGTCACTCACGTTGGCCTGTTCTAACAGTAGTCCCAAGACTGAAGACACTCACCTCCAACCTGCTCTCCTAACTCTTCTCTCCAGGTTTCAATGATGAGAGAGAAGGTGCCCTGGAAGGGTGAGAGGAAAGGATGAAAAGCAGTGGCCAGGGCGAGTACTTGACGAAGGCCAGGGTTTAGGGGTAAGGACCATTCCTGGCACCAGGCAGGCAAGGCACAGTTTCCAGAGGGGCTGGCTCAGGGAAGGGATGGCAGTTTGGGCTTCCTTTATTGAGCATTTAGTAAGTGGTGAGGACTATATTCAAGATAACCTGGCAGAATCCCTCAACAGGGACCCTTGTGCGGTACCGTGATGTCCCCATTTCACAGATGAGGAAACTGAGGCTAGAAAAGGAAAATCATTTGCCCAAAAGAACAAGGCTCTTAGACTTCAAATACAGGTTTGTTCAGCTCTGTGCTTTTGGGGTTATGGGATGGGAGAAAGGGTTTTGGAGGTGAAAGAGTCATGAATACAGGTCCCAACTGGAAGATCTGAGAAAGGATAAAGTGAGAGGAGATTGGGGGAGAGGGTCCCCAAAGCAGAGTGTGAGAGGGACCCTAAGTGCAAGGAAACTTGGAGACTTGGAAATAAAGATAAGAATCCCAGTATTTAGAGATCTCTAGGGAACAGAGGCAGAGTTCTGTGAATGTATTCTTTCCAGAGGTTGAGTTGGAAGAAGGGGGAGGAGAGGGAAGGGAATTTGGGGTCTCAAGCATGCTGGGCTGGGATCATAACATTTTGCATACCTACAGGGCAAATTGGAGTCAGAAAAGGTGGGGTCCTTAGTAAGTAGGGTTTATGAGTCTGAGAAAGGTTTCCAGGTGCTAGGTAGACTTACTGGTCTGGGAATTTGGAATGAGGGGGCGAGTGGGGCCTTGGAAGTTGGAGGACAGAAAGGGTGGAGGTTTGGGTAGGGACTCCAGCACGAGGGTGCCCCGGGTCCGGGTCTCACCGGCCAGGCGTCGCGGAAGGGCAGGCGCATCAGGCCGTCGGGCAGCGGCAGGTCAGGAGCTGGAGGCCGGGACTGCTTGGTGTAGATGGGTCCGCGCGCGCTCAGCGCCGCGCCCACCGCGCACGGAGGCTCCGCGGCCTCCTCTGGGGTCCCCGGCTTCAGGCAGACTTTGAAGAAGAGGCGGCAGGGGCCCCCGGCACTGCAAGGAGACCTGGGGGCCCCTGGGCCTGATCCCGGCCGGAAAGAGTGAATCTGAAGCTCGAAAACGCCTGCCGGCCGTGCCTGGAGCGTTAAGGGGCACAGGGTGAGGGGACCGCGGGTCCCGTTCGCCCTGCACCTCTTCCCCAAGACCTCCGGTTCTCGCCCCGTCCCATCCACCCCTTCCCACTCCGCTCTGACCTGGGGAAGGAAAAACAGCTCCAGGATCACCGCCCAGGACAGAAGTTGAGGCATCCACGGGCAGACCATGGCCTTTTGGAGGTCTGAGGAGCCGCAGCTGCCGGCTCCGGAGCCTTATATCTGAGGAGACGGCTCCGCCCCTTCAAGTGCTCCGGGCTCGAGGGGCTCTGGGGGAGGAGGTGAGGGGAAGGGCAGCCTGCTGGAACAACCGTAAGTCTGTCTGGAGGATACAGGCAATGTAGTGAGGGTGTGTGTGTGTGGCTAAGGATGGGTAGGTTTAGGAGGTTGTATACATGACTTTGTGATAGTGTGTCTAGGTGAGGTTATGTGGCTCTACGTGTGTCTCCAATTGTATGTTAAGCCTGTTTGTGAGGCTGTAAATATTTCTAAGATTCAGCATGTGTGTGCACAGACACTCGCACCAGCATCTACCTAAGAAGAGAATGGAGGTGTATGTAACCTCATGATTGTGTGACTGAGAATGAGTGGCTGCTCTCTGCACGTGTAAGAGCATCATGAGATCCTGGACCACTGGGTGTAGTCGATATGAGCCTGTGGTCTGTGCAGGTGCCTCTAGGCAGCCGTGTGAGGGGGTGGGAGACTGGAGTGTGGGAGGTCCGTGGGTATAGCCTCATGTGGATAGGATGAAGCTCCGGAGTTCTTTGTGGCTGTGTTCTCCCCTCCCCAAGACAAAGCCGTCCTCCCAAACGCACATCATGGATGCAGCAGACGCCAGAGCAAGGAGCCCTGGTCTGAGGGGACTACCAGCTGTATGTTAATGCCACCATCTGCCGGCCCCGCGCCCCTCCCCCTTTGGCTACAGCTGGGTTGCCCGTTTGGCCTCCAGAAGGTGTGAGGAGCAAATGGGCAGGAAATTCCATCTTCACACCAAAGGCCTATCCCTCACTCCAGGACGAATTGGGGGTAGGGAGGGGTGAAGAAACCCCAGGGCCCTTCAGAAAGGAAAGTTAGGAGCAGGTGTTCCAGCCCTCTCACTCTGTGCCAGGTGCTGAGCAAAGCCCTTAGGTGGCGTAAACTTTTCCCCCCAGCACTGCAGAATAAAAATGTTAATACTTAGAAGCTAATAATTATAGTAGAAAATACAGGATTTTTTTTCTTCTAATATGTAAAGCATAGCCCAACAGAGTCAGGCAGACAAGTTCTTAATAATTTTTAATGAATGTAATAATTCAACCCAAAAAGGTTTTTTTTAATCCTGAGGACTTGAGTTTTGAGTCGACAGCCATAGTCAAATTGCACAGAACATCCTAGGTTCCTCTGCACAGGTTTTCCTCCCCTTTGTTAGTGTCACCAAACTAGCTCCTGTGGGAGGCCTTCCCCTACATTCCAAGGTCACACACCTCCTCTGAGTTCCCAGCTTCCTGTAATTCCTCTATCCCAATCCTGGCCTCTGGGGTCTTCTTGGCACACACCCTGTCACTCTCCTGCATAGATTCTTCCATGGTTCCCCAGTGCCTTTATAATACTTCAAGATTGACATCTGAGGCCCTCCTTTCCACATCCCCTCTACTCAAACAGGTTCTGTGGCCCCAAAGTGTAGTGCCAGGCCTCATGGACCAATTACTGGGAAGCAAACAGGGCCCTGTACCAGGGAAGGTGGAGGGAGCTTCCCATCATGAGACATTCAAATGGAATTTGGACAACCGTTAGAACCAGCAGTGAAGGCAAATACCTGCGCTGGATATAATTTGGGAGGGTAACAGATTCCAGTCTGATTTCTCCAAATTTTTAGATTGTAAAAATAGCCAGCCTTTACTGAGGTCTGTCAGGCATAAGTGTTGGATGTGAATCTTCCCACATCTGTGTGTGAAGTACTTAAAGGGATTTCTAAGCATCTTTTTGGCTCTTAGAATGCCCTTACATGCCCACAGAATGTCATGCTTAGGTGACACGTGAGCAGAGATCTAAAGGAGGGGAGTAAGCCATATGGATGGGGGGGGGGGCATTCATGGCAGAGAGAATAGCAAGTGCAAAGGCCTGAGGTGGCCATGCCTGACACACTCAAGATATCTCCATGGCTTTCCTCATTTTGTTCTCAGCTCAAATACACCATCCCAAGTCCTTCCCTAACTGTTCTATCCCATGTAAAAAAGCACCCCAAGACCCCAAAACATTCCTTCTCACCATATTTTTTTTAAGAGTCGTTTAATTTTTAGAGATGGAGAGGGAGGAACATTGATGGGAGTGAAACATTGATTGGCTGCCTCCTGCATGCCCCCTACCAGAGACTGAGCCTGCAACCCAGGTATGTGCTCTGACGGGGAATTGAACCGGCAACCCTTCGGTGTATGAGATGATACCCAACCAACTGAGCCACACTAGCCAGGGCTGTTTTTCTTAATTCATTTATTACTCCAAGAAACATGTAACCATTGTCTGTCTTCTCCATAAGATTATTAGTCCCACCAGGTCAGAATTTTTAAAATTTGTTCACTGATGCACTCTAGCTCCTGGAACCCTAACCCTAACACTTGCAGTTGGTGCTTAGGAAACATTGATTAAATGAATGACGGAGGCATTTTTAACCTCTTATGAGGAAAGTGAGAAGCCCGAGACCTTGTCCAAGACCATAGGTTTGCGAATGGTATGACATGGGAATTCAGACCGTGTTGGGGTTATGCCTCAACACTGCCCAACCTGCCCGTCAGTGATGCCATGATACAGCCCGAGAGCACTTAAGGAAAACATCCTAGGCCAGTGGTTAGCAAACTGCAGCTCGTGAGCCACATGCAGCTCTTTGGCCCCTTGAGTGTGGCTCTTCCACAAAATACCACGTGAAGCATGTGCCAGCCAGTGCCAGAGCCTTAATCCCCAGGGCTGCTGGACCACTGGGGGACAGGGACCAACTGGCAAACACACTTCCTTCTTTCATGCCATGTGGGCAGACAGAACTCACACTTCAAAAGGCTCCTCAGGTTCTGTGGGACCGCGTCACCCACGTGGTAGGCAAGCACACTTGGAAGTGGCTCTTCCTCCATCCTCCACTCACTCTCCAGATCACATTGCCTGAACACATAAGCCTATCTCCACCTTTGCTTTTGGTTAAGACAGTCTCCAATTCTCAGATATGTGCAAAAAAAACCCAAACCAAACAAAAACAAAACTCTGTAGCTCCTCCCTCAATCCTGCTGAGATCCTAGGGAGTTCTAGGGATATCAAGAAACCATTCCCTACCATTAGAGACAGTACACGTAGGGTTGGGAGATGCATAAATCAATTCTTTGTAGACATGTGTACTTCTTTAAAAATCTAGAGTTCGGGCCGAAACCGGTTTGGCCCCGAGCGTCGGCTTGGGGACTGAAGGGTCCTGGGTTCGATTCCAGTCAAGGGCATGTATCTTGTTTGCGGGCATATCCCTAGTAGGGAGTGTGCAAGAGGCAGCTGATCGATGACTCTCTCTCATCGATGTTTCTCTCTCTTTCCCTTCCTCTCTGTACAAAATCAATAAACTATATTTTAAAAAAAATAAAAATAAAAATCTAGAGTTCGGCAGTTCAACCTGACCCACACAGTTTCAAATACATTTCAATTACTATAAACACCACCAGAGGTCTTTTAAAAATATTTAACTGGTACTAGCATTAAATGCCGGCTGGAGAGGCTGCCAAACTCCGACAGGTTATTTCTTTCTTTTTTTTCTTAATAAATTTTATTGATTTTTTACAGAGAGTTAGAGACATTGATGAGAGAATCACCAATTAGCTGCCTCTTGCACACCCCCTACTGGGGATGTGCCCGCAACCTCCGTACATGCCCTTGACCAGAATCGAACCTGGGACTTTTCAGTCAACAGGCAGATGCTCTATCCACTGAGCCAAACCGGTTTTGACGCTACAGGTTATTTCAATCTGTGAGCATCCAGTATGGCCTGGTAACAAGCCCCATGTGAGTACACATACAGTTTGAATAGGAATTGTCCAATTTAGCCCACATAACCACTTTAGTAAGATAGGTACTATCATCACCTCCACTTCCCAGATGAGGAAACAGAGGCAGAAAGGTGCCTTGCTCAAAATTCACAGCTGCTATTTGAGAGCTTACATAGAGTATCTAATTTAGCCCTCAAACCTACTGTGGGCTAAGTACCATTATTATTTTATAAATGTGGAAACTGAGGCATTGAAAGTGAAATAACTTGCTCAACATCACACAGGAAGTGGTAGAGCTGGGATTTGAACTCAGTCAGTCAGAATATAAATATTATTTATATTCTTAAATAAATGCTGTCCGATTCAGGGCCCAGGAGGCACATGAAGCTATTTCAATTTAAAGTAATACAAAATTAGAAATTCCATTCCTGTTACCCTAGTCACATTGCAAGTACTCAATAGCCCATGGCCACTGGGCAGTGCAGATACAGAACAGTATAAACATTGTAGAAAGTTCCACTGAGAGTGCTGATACACAGTCTGCCTGCTTTAGTTAGAAGCCAACATTTAAATATTGGGAGATTTATTATTAATATAAAAATCTCAATTTCTGGCTTCCATTAATAATCAGATGATCAGCCTGGCCAGCATGGCTCTGTGGTTGGGTGTTGATCTATGAACCAGGAGATCATGGTTCAATTCCCAGTCAGGGCACATGCCCGGGATGCAGACTTAATCCATAGTGTGGGGGTGTAGGAGGCAGCTGATCAATGATTCTCTCATCTTTGATGTTTCTATCTTTCTCTCTCTCTCTCCCTCTTTCTTCCTCTCTAAAATCAATAAAAATATATTTTTAAAAAATCAGATCACGCAACTCTATCCCTACCTTTCCAGGGGGCCAGAGCTGGCAGAGCTGAGCAGCAGCTGCCCTCTTGGGATCGGGCGATGTCCACTAGAGTCCACTGAGCTCACGCTTCACATATTACACAGCAGCCTAAGCAGCTATTTGTCTTTAACCCCCCAGGGAAGTCCTCTCTTCTCTTTTCCAGATGGGGAATCTGCAGCCAAAAAGGGAGCTGCACTTTTTGCAGATTACACAGGACACAGAAGACTCGACCAGAGTAGGGACCCAGGTTTTCAGATCACCAGGCCTGGGTTAAAAACCAGCCCTGATCTACCAAAGCACCACTCTGTGCTCGGCAGCTAATCAGTCACTCAGACCTCACCCCAATACCCAAATCTGGAGACTCTCTGGACACAGGAGTATGGCGTCTGGGATGGACTTTATTGGACATGTGGCTGCCCAAGCTGTGGTCTGGGAGCACTGCAGCCTGGGGTCCAGGACCCAGGCACTACGTTTGAGGAGGCCCAGGTCAGGGCTGTTTGGAGCGAGGCCACAGGCGACTGGTAAGAGAGCTGAGGAAGAGTGTCTGCTTGTTGGATCTGGAGAGCTCGGCCAGGCGCTGCTGCTCTTCCTGGGGCAGGGCAAAGAGAAGGGAGAAGGTCAGCAGGGTAAGTAGAGCCTCCTCCTAGAATCCCAGGTCCCCAGTCTCAGCCCAGCAGCTACCTTTCTTAAACCTCTTCCCAGCCCAGACCCCTTCTCCCAAACCCCCAAAACAGCCCAGACCCCAGAAACTGAGACCAGACCCAGGCATGAGCCAGCTATGAGTCATAGAAACCCAGACTCAAATCCCAGTACCCTCATGATCACCTTCCCCAGCTCCCTGGGGGCCCCTCTCCTGAACCCAGAACCTATTTACCCCTGCATGGATGCTGGCAAGACTCGAAACCCTTTCCAGACTGCACTGTTCCGTTCCCTGGTCTCCCATTGCCCAGCCTGGAGCCGCAGGACTTCTGTGTGGATGGTGGGGGATCCCAGGCTCAAATCTCCCAGGAATTCTGGCCCTACTCCAAGGACCTAACACAATCTAATCAACCTCAATCTAGATTCCAGGGAATCTTTCCCAGACTCAATCTATACTTTTTAAAATACACATTTTTGTTGATTTCAGAGAGGAAGGGAGGAGATAGCAACATCAGTGATGAGAGAAAATCATTGATTGGCTGCCTCTTGCACACCCCTTATTGGGGATCGAGCCTGCAACCCGTTCACAAGCCTTGGACAGGGATTGAACTTGGGACCCTTCAGTCTGCAGGTCGACACTATCCACTGAATGAGACTGGCTAGGACAATCCATTCTTAGTCCTATTTCCAAGTCACCAAGATCTCGATAGACCACCAGAACTCACTCCTCAGACCTTGGGGCAAATGTTCTTGGATCCCTCTTTCCAGACCTGATCCAACCCATGGTCCACAAAACACTGGGGCCTCCAGACCAGCTCAAGGCCACCAAGGACAACTCCTCTCCGGATCTATCTCAAATGCGTGGTGTTTTCTGCCTCCTTTTCTCAGAGCAGGTGCAGAATCAATTTTCCCGTCATTACAAGAGCCCTACAGGACAGGTGGTGTGGTCGAGAAGGTATCTATCTGCTCAAGATCACAAAGCCCAAAGTAGAGCCAGGCTGCTCCAGGGCTCCACCGTCAGGACCCTGGAGAACTGCTGCGATGTCCCCCACCTGGGCTGGGATCAGAGCACCCACCTGCTCCAGCCGGCTTTGGCGCTGTTTGAAAGCCTCCAGCGGGTCATCCTCCAAGGCATAGTGCTCCAGCACAGTCCGGACATCCTCCACACCATTCAATGCAATAGCTGGGGACACAGTAGGCAGGAGTCAGCCAGGCTTAAGACCAGAGGCAGGCAGGCCCACAAGAATAAAAGTCAAATACTAGGGGATCAGTGCTACCTGGAACACTTTTCAACAATTTAAAAGAGCTCTCCTAAACATTCCCTAGGAACACCCCAAACATGCTAAGCTTCTAAAGATTGCATGTTGTGGACCTTCCACATCTTAAGAACTCAGTTTTACATGAAAAACAAGCCAAAATCAAGTGACTGTAATTCCTCTTGAAGGTCAAAGGCTCTAGGGTCAGAAGTCAGGTCAGGGGTCAGTCTCACTCTTGAGGAAGACAGACAGGTCCAACAAGACCCGGTCATCAGAGTTGCCATCCCAGGGCCGCAGTGCGACACCATTGTAGGGCTGTAGGCGGAAGGCTTCCTTCTTGCAGTCCACAACCACCACACGGGCTGGGTCCCGATTCAGGCAGGAAATGTCCTAGAAATCGGGAATAAGTTAGCTTAAAGCCTATGCCCCTTCCCTTCCCACAAAGAACCCTCAAAGGGAGAGACAGACACACACACACCATTGCACACCAGGTGCCTCCCAAAGACCAAGCTGGGATGATGGCATCAAATTCCCCAGGGAGCTAGTCACACAGATTCCTGGACCCAGGGCCTGGTACACAGGTTGACTTGGAGGTTCCCTGGGGAGGAGGCCAAGCATTTGTGTGTTCAACCACTGCCACAAGTGACTGGGACAAGTTGAAAGTTTGTGAACCTCTCACCCAGACAAAAAAGTGCAGACTTCCCTAGCCGGTTTGGCTCAGTGGATAGAGCATAAGCCTGAGGACTGAAGAGTCCCGGTTTAATTCTGATCAAGGGCATGTACCTCGATTGCAGGCTCCATCCCATCAGTGTGTCTCTCTCCCATCAATGTTTCTCTCTCTGTGCCTCTCCCCATTCTTCCCACTCTCTAAAAATCAATTAGGTGCCGAAACCGGTTTGGTCGGCTTGGGGGCTGAAGGGTCCCGGGTTCGATTCCAGTAAAGGGCATGTACCTTGGTTGCGGGCATATCCCCAGTAGGGGGTGTGCAAGAGGCAGCTGATGACTCTCTCTCATTGATGTTTCTAACTCTGTATCTCTCTCGCTTCCTCTCTGTACAAAATCAATAAAATGTATTTAAAAAATAAATAAATAAATAAAAATCAATTAGGTGAGAATTAACCACAACAACAACAAAGAAATATAGACAGATCTATAGCCACACTGGGACTCACTCAAAGACAGGTACCCGGACACAGACCCTTCAAACCCTCAATCACAGTTCACATCCTTTTGAATCTTGAAGAACTACGTAGATCCACCAACATACAGTGAGAAAGCCAGCAGACCCCTAAACATATGGGAACTTGGACCTAGACTAAGGTGACCAGACGTCCCGATTTTCAACAATTTGAGTCTTTCCAAAAATTGGGACTTTTTTGAAACGCGGGATGTGGGACAAATTGTTGAAAATTGGGACTGTCCCGCCAAAAGCGGGACATCTGGTCACCTTAGTCTAGACTTACAGAGACCCATTCACAGACCAATGAACTCCTGTTTCCATGGGTACGTTGCTGGTGATAGCAACAGACCTCAGGTCAAACAAACCCCAACAGGGTCTCAGATTAAGATACCATAAATTACACAGTCCCAGAGACAGTTCCAGACACAGAGAAATAAAAATAGCCTCCTTTTCCCAACACCTTGCCCCTCTTTAGAAAGACCTCATTTCCCCCCACTTTCATTGCCAGATTCTGGGGGAGAGGGCCCACGGGCCCTGTCCAAACTGGGGACAGGATCAGACCTGGGGCAAACCCAGAAGCAGGACTGACACTAGGGTCAGAGATGGGTCCTCTTTCCCTCATGAAGGGCCAACCCTCAACCCCCAATCTCAGAGATCAATCCATGGCCCCAACATGGTACCTTAACATGGTGCCCATCCATGTATCGTGTAGCATCCCGGAAGAGGCGGTAGGAGATGAAGCCGTGGGGGTCCACACTGTCGATGAGTGGAAATGCAGTCTGGAGTACAATGAGGAAAAACAACTCTCTGCAGCTCTCTACCTCCCCCACGTAGACCATCCCTCCCTTCTCCAGGGCCTCACCATGCCAGTCTCTGATGTGAAGATGACGATTTCATACAAAGGGGCAAGCTGCTGGAATAAGGTCTCTATGCCTGGCCGCTTCTTAAACCTCCAGCCAGTGGCCAGCTGGGGAGAGTGAGAAGAGTAAAGCACTGAGACCCAGAGGTCCCAGAGTCCCCAAAAGAACCAAGACCCAGCCTGAGGGATTCCCAGAACCAGCCTGCTCTTCCCTTGTCTTTGGGGCGCTTGAGGGGTTCATGGTGGGGAGCATCACACCATGGAAAGAGGCAATGAGAGTGACACCTCCTCCCCAAGATCACAGTGGAGCCTGGGCTAAATCCCAGACTGGCTCCAGGCTACGCTCCTAACCACATCATCATGATCTGCCACCCAGGTCTACCCAGTGTCCCCAACTCGCTGCCTTCCCCAGGACACACCGACCACTCAGGGTGCAAGAGGACGCCGGTGAGCTCCAAGACCAGCGTGTAGGGCGGCTGATAGTACGGCTCTCGCAGAGGGTCTGGGAGAAGGCAGGGACTAGTGGGCTCAATGATCATCTGTGGGACAGGGACAGAATGGAGACATTCAGACAAGGAGCAGGGGGCTGGGGAATGCAGGGATAGGGACTGAGCCCAGGGCTCTTCTTACCTGTCTATAATCTTTGAAATATTTGTATGTCCGGCGTAACTGCTGTACCAGAATTGGATCTAGAACACCAGGGCACAAAGGGATTCTATGATAAGCCACTGTTCAACCTCTGGACAAACAATGGCTTTACTTATGTACCAGATAAAAACAAGTCTACCCGTTTTGAACCAGCTCATTTCTAAGTCTAAAGGTAGAAGGCAATGACATAACAACCAGACAGGAACAAATATATTTATTCACCTGTCCAATTTTAACTCAAATACTTCATCCACACACTACCCCAGGTATAAAACAAAATGTTTATATATCTGCCCACATGAAGCCCACCTATAACTGAAATGATGCCACTATATTTAGTTCATTTGGAAACACTAGGCTTCCAGATCTGCCTGCTTTAAGCCAATATGATGAGTCCAGTTAAAAAATGATGGATAGTCCGGACAGTGAAGCCCAGTGGTTGAGCACTGACCCATGAATCAGTTCGATTCCCAGTTGGGGGCACATGCACGGGTTGCAGACTTAATCCCCAATGTAGGGCATGCAGGAGGCAGCCAAGCGATGATTCTCTCTCATCTTTGGTGTTTCCTGGTTTAAGTGAATTTACTGAATCAAATTAAAAATATAAACTTACATAACTGCCTACTTCAGTACAGTATTTTTTGTTTTAAAAACCAAAACATTGGAACCAATTAAGTTAGTAAATACCAATTTTATTTTATTTATTTTTAAATATATTTTATTGATTTTTTAACAGAGAGGAAGGGAGAGAGATAGAGAGTTATAAACGTCGATGAGAGAGAAACATCAATCAGCTGCCTCCTGCACACCCTCCACTGGGGATGTGCCCTCAACCAAGGTATGTGCCCTTTGACTGAAATTGACCCAGGACCCTTCAGTCCGCAGGCCAACGCTCTATCCACTGAGCCAAACCAGTTTCGGCCCAATTTTACTTTTTAAAATATATTTTTATTGACTTCAGAGAGGGAGAGAGGGAGAGAAGAGGGAGGGAAAGAAGGGGTGGGGGGAGAGAAACACATCAATAATGAGAGAGAATCATTGAGCGGATTCCTCCTGAATGGCCCACACTGGGGAGAGAGCCCGCAACCCGGGCACTTGCCCTAACTGGGAATTGAACCTTGTCATAGGCTGACACTCAATCACTGAGCAACACTGGCCAGGGGTAACCACATATTTTAAATCTGTTTGTTTACCTAACCAGTAAAAATCAGTATACTGATTTGTTTAAACCAGTATGATTCTGTTTCTACCCAGTTAAGACATTATATTTACCCACCTGCTCAGTTTAAAATAAACAATGTATCAACATCCCATTGTGCAAACTTCCAAACACTAACAGTAGCTTTCTGCACCTACCAACTTTATTTTTCTCCTGGGAAGGGCCAGGTGTGACAAAACTGACAACTGCCCTAGCCAGTTTGGCTCAGTGAATACAGCATCCGCCTGTGGACTGTACCACCCAGATTTGATTCCTGGTCAGGGCACATATCTAGGTTGTGGGCTAGATCCCCAATAGGGGGCGTGCAAGAGGCAGCCAATCCATTATTCTCCCACACCATCATTTCTCACATTCAACATACTGTGTTGAAGTAGGCAGTTATGTAAGTTTGTACTTTTAATTTGATTCAGTAAATTCACTTAAACCAGGAAACACCAACGATGAGAGAGAATCGTCGATTGGCTGCCTCCTGCATGCCCTACACTGGGATCAAGCCTGTAACCCGGGCATATGCCCCATGATGCTTCTATCTCTCCCTCTCCCTTTCTCTCTGAAATCAATTTAAAAAAATAAAATTAAAATAAAATAAAATAAAATAATAATAATTAAAAAATACATACATATATATATATATGAAAAAAGAAACAGGAAAACAAAAAATAAACCATAAAAATTATATATTCTTTTAAAAACAAACAAACAACTATTTTCTACTGTCCTGACAACTATTTTCTACTGTCCAATCTGTCAGAAACTCCCCACCAAAAGCTAACTAAAAGGGGGAGGGAGGGAGGCAGTTTTGGAAATGAGGAGCTTGATGGGGAAGAGGCTTGGGGTGGGGAGAAGAGGCTGTTAAAAGGGGAGGGACTTAGGGGCTGCATATGCTCAGATCTAAGGCACAGGAAGCCATGTGTGTCTGGCAATAGACAGCACCTTCTCCCAATGCACTCCCACCCCAGACTCTCCTCCCCCCATCTGTTCCTGACCATCTGCTCCAGGGCCGAGGGGCCAGAGAAAGGGACGGGAGCTTTGTAATGACCTTCCCCCAAAAGTCATCTAGCTACTGACTCCCTTACCTTCAGGAGAAGGAGGAGGGGCACCATATGGGCAGAGCAACATCCCTACAAATGGCAGAGTAGGGAGAGTCAGGGGACCAGATTTTATGCTTGTTTACTCACCATTGTCGAATTCATCGGGAATCTATGCGGTAGAGAGAAAAACAGAGGGTTTGAGATAGTAGAGGCAAAACCCCATCACACCCAGAAAAGGAATCATCTCCAGGGCCCTGGAAAGAGTAGGCAAAGGTGCCAGGGAGGGAGAAACTCACTCCAGACTAGAAATGAGCCTAAATTAACCAAAGGAGGGGAAGGGGGTGTGTGGCATCCACAGGATGAGACCCCTAGCAAGGCCTTTGGGTGTCTTTCCCCCTTACCTTGGCACCAGTTTCATCCACAGAGTTATTTCCTGCAAGGAAGACAGAGATGAACCAGAGGAACTGGGACCCCATCTCTTGGGCCATGAGGGAGAAAAAAAGGAGAGGCCCTGGATTCTTGGGTGTAAGGGAAGAAGGCTTGAAACATGGTCTCCTAAAACTGAGAGGAGGGGGCTTATAGCCAGGAAGCCTAGGTCTCTAAGGAACAAGGGAATGGGGCCAGATCTCCGGGGTCTCTGAGTGATAAAGGGACTAGTGAGGGCTGGAGTTTTGGATGCAGAGGAAAGAGGCAATTTAGGAGGCTGATCCAGGCCTATCCTTCCCCATTTTCTCCTCTTCCAACTTATTCCCTGTAGACTAATACAGAACCAACTAGATACAGTGGAACCTTGAGCACAGGGAATAGACGAGAGAAGAAAGGAGATCTCCCACTTTCCAAGGTAGATAGATGTTCTAGTTCAGCGGTGGCCAACGTTTCGAACCTCACGGACCACCGGTTGGCAACTGTTGTTCTAGTTGACTGCCCCATTGTAGGAGGAGCCATGGAATGATGATGGATAAAGAGAGGAAGCATCTGCAGGAGGATAAAGAGCCAACAAAACAAAACTACAGGACAGGAATATGTCCCTCACCGAAGATATAGACGACACTCACGGTTCCACCAGCCCCAAGCAGCCCAGCAAGCCAGAGTGCGACTTTTTTGGCATAGCTGGGACCCTCCGTGCCCTGCTGCTGCTGCTGCTGGGACCCCTGGGCCTGGGCCTTAGTGCTTGGGCGGCTCCCGATCTCCTTGGCCTACAATTGAGAAAGCGTTGGTTAGCCAAATGAGAAGAGAGAGATGGTCAGGATGGTTCCAACACCCTGGTCCGTTAAGAATCAAAGTCCAGAGCCAGGAAGCAGACACCCATATAGCCCCTGGGATTATGTCCCTGGAGGGGCAGCCAGCAGTTTGACTGGGTGTCTCAGAGGGGTCAAACCTGCCTGAGGCCAGGACCAGTTTGGCTCAGTGGATAGTGCGTCAGCCTGCGGACTGAAAGGTCCCGGGTTCGATTCCGGGCAAGGGCATGTACCTTGGTTGCGGGCACATCCCCAGTAGGGGGTGTGCAAGAGGCAGCTGATCAATGATTCTCTCATCGATGTTTCCAACTCTCTATCCCTCTCTCTTCCTCTCTGTGAAAAATCAATAAAATATATTTTGAAAAGATTTTTTAAAAAAAAAAAGAAATATTGTCTGAGACATTCAGGAGTTGATAGGCCTGGAACCCAGGATACTGCAAAGGACTGGAGAACCTGCAGCCCAGAAAAGCAGGGCGGGAAAATGAGATCAGGAGCCTGGCTGAACATTGGGATGGAGGAGCAGAGCAATGGAGGGCGCACAGAGGACAGAACAGGGAGTTAAGGCATCCTGACGTCCGGAGCCCAGGTTATAGAGCGGAAGAGATTGCGAGCCGGGACGGGGAGCTGAGGCGTGGGGCTGCTATCGCTCATTTGGGGATTGGGGAATAGGGCACGGAAGTGATGGAGCTGAAGGTCAGAAAGGCTGGTTCTCAGTCAATATGGAGGCAGGTCGAATCAAAAGCTCTAACAACATCTACTTCACCACCTTCACTACCGCGGGGAAAATAACCCCAGAGCCAGGCAGCGATTCCAGCGTCCCAAGTCCCTTCCCCTCAAGTTGTTCCCTGAGCGGCCATGGAGTTGAGGAACAGGTGACCCTTCTCCCCCGGCACCCACGTGGTGTCCAAAGAAAGCGGAGTCCAGAGAATGTCCTGGAGCCCCTAGCACCCACCCCACCGCTGGGAAGCAAGTGTCGGTCACCCCGGGAGGCTGGAACAAGCCGAAACGCGGGCGGCGTTCCATTGAGCACCCTGAGGTGCTGCGTCCCAGAACCATGGAGCGGCGACCCGCCTGGAAATCCAGGAAGGGGCCTTTGCAGCCGGGGCCCACCGCCGTCCCGCTCACCTGGCCTGAGGCCCGCGGGGGCAACGTCACCAGCCTCGCGCACAAGCCCCGCGCGCCGAGCGAGAGCCCGCTCCGCCAGCGTAGGGCCCGCGCCGCCGTGGCCGCCATCTTGCGCTGACGTCACGTGGGCCCCGCCCACTCGCCCCTCTTCCTCCTGTCCCGGGCGGGGCTCTGGCCAATGGGGACGCAGGGGCGGGCCGCGTGGACGGCAGCCCGAGAGAGACAAAGGGCTTCGGGCGCCGGGACCGGGTTGGCTCAATGGATAGAGCGTCGGCTTGGGGACTGAAGGGTCCCGGGTTCGATTCCGGTCAAGGGCATGTAACTTGGTTGCGGGCATATCCCCAGTAGGGGGTGTGCAAGAGGCAGCTGATTGATGACTCTCTGTCATCGATGTTTCTACTCTCTTTCTCTCCCTTCCTCTCTGTACAAAATCAATAAAATATATTTAAAAAAAGAAAAAAAGAAAAAAAGGGCTTCGGGCGTCCAGCTGCGACCGTGCACACCTGAAGCGGCCCTTCCGCCTGCCCCCGCGCGCCTAACAGGATGGGGAGCCCGCCTACTCCAGCGCCCCCGCTACAGTACCTGCCCAGAGGTAAAGCTGAGCCCACACTGAAACCCTCAGGCTGCCAGCCCTCAGAAGCTCGCTGCCTCACACGGAGGCCATCTGTCTGCGCTCCTGTTCTCCGACCCCTCGCTGCCCTTCCTCTCAGGTGGGCAGGCCAACCATTTCATGGGAACCTGCAGCTAAAGGAACAGCGGCCGCGTCCGGAGGTGTCGGGAGTGTGGGAAATCAATTAGCGGTCATAGGTAGCCACAATAGATCTCCTTCAAATTAGTTTGAGAGGGGAAAGTCTGATAGTATTTATGTGAACTTTAAAAACATGTTTTTAAATAGCAAGTGGGTCTAAAAATTACCCCACTTATAACCATATAACATTTAGGGGGAAAAGTAAAAGGACCAAGTCAAAAGACAAATGGGCCCTCGCCAATGTGGTGCAATGGTTAGAGCATCAGACTGCACACAGAAGGGTGGCGGGTTCCATTCCTGGTCAAGTGCACAAGCACAGGTACCTGGGCTGGCTCCCTGTCCACACCACAGGGCCTGGAGCCTGATGGAGGCAACCAATCCATGTCTCTCACAATCATGTTTCTCTTTCTGCCCTCCCCAACACACACACACACTGAAAAGCAATGGAAAAATATTCTCAGGTGAGGATTAACAAAAGACAAATGCAATTAAGGGTTGTGGATACCTATGGGGGGATGGACTGTGGGTGCTGTTAAAGTGGGTGCTAGGGTGCTATTTGGTATATATTGTTTCCTAAACTGGGTGGTGGGAACACAGGTGTTCCTGGTACATCTTTTTGAAATATTTTTTTTGAAATATTTTATAATACACTAGAAGTCCTGTGCATTAAATTCATGTGGGGGAGGGGGAGCTGTTCTTCAGCCCAGCCTGCACCCTCATCAATTTGGGACATCCCTCTTCAATCCAAGACTGCTGGCTCCCAACCGCTCCCCTGCCTGCATTCTTGATTGCCCCTAACCGCTTCTACCTGCCAGCCTGATAACCCCTTAATGACTCCCCGCCAGCCTAATCAACACCTAAATGCCCCCTTGCCGCCCAATAGCCCCTAACTGCCCTCCCCTGCTGGCCTGGTCACCCCTAACTACCTTCCCCTGGCAGCCTTGTCACCCTTAACTGCCCTCCCCTGCCAGCCTTGTCACATTTAACTGCCCTCCCCTGCAGGCCTGGTCACCCCCAACTGCCCTCCCCTGCTGGCCCTTTCACCCCTAACTTTCCTCCCTTGCCAGCTTAGTCACTCCTAACTGCCCTCCCCTGCTGGCCTGATTGGACCTAACTGCCTTCTCCTGCAGCCCTCGTCCTCCCCAATTGTCCTCCCCTGCAGGTCTGGTTGCCCCCAACTGCCCTCACCTGCAGGCCTGGTCCTCCCACAACTGCCCTTCCCTGTAGGCCTGGGTCCCCCCCCACACACACACTGCCTTCCCCTGCAGGCCTGGTTGCCCCCAGCTGCCCTCCCCTGCCAACCTGGATCCTCCCCAACTGTCCTCCCTGCAGGTCTCTGCCCTCCCCTGCTGGCCATCTTTTTTTTTTTTTTTTTTTTAAATATATTTTATTGATTTTTTACAGAGAGGAAGGGAGAGGAATAGAGAGCTAGAAACACCATTGAGAGAGAAACATCAACCAGCTGCCTCTTGCACACCCCCTACGGGGGATGTCTGCAACCAATGTACATGCCCTTGACCGGAATCGAACCTGGGACCTTTCAGTCCACAGACCGACACTCTATCCACTGAGCCAAACCGGTTTCGGCCCTGCTGGCCATCTTGTGTAAATGGAGATAGCCATCTTGTGTTGGAGTGATGGTCAATTTGCATATCACCTCATTATTTAGGATTGTTACATTTGTAAAAGGATATTAGTATCAAATGAGGAAGGTGAAGGAAGGTCATAGTACTAAGTTCCATTGTCTACACCTCCATGCCATCAGACAAGTTACAGCAATTCTTAGGCCACCACAATGTAGGCTCAAGAGAAAGGACAGGACAACAGGAGGAACTTAGGTTTCCTGAGTCAGAATATTGACTTATTTCCACTCAACTCAAACATGAGTAAGACGTAACTTCATCATTCGCATGGCAGGTTTTGTTCTAAACTCTTTACCATGTTTTCTCAGACATTCCTCTCAAGTGCCCCCTGGGGTAGGAAGTATCATCTTCTGTATGGGGAAACTGAGGCTTAGGTAGGACCCAGTTGTTTGCCCAAGACCACACACCATGGAAGCAAGTGTGTCTAAAAATTACCCCACTGGAGGACAAAATGGCGGAAGAATAGATAGGCGGATTCTGAGCCTTGTCCCGAAGCAGAAAGAAAGCGCAGCTGAGGGTCGTGCTGTGAGTGTTTATTAGCAACCCAAGAGACAGCTGAACACCAGAAGAAACTACTGGGGGGCCACTGACAAGGGTGCCCCTCACAGGGAAGCACCCACGTGGGGTGAGGTCCCTTCCCAGAGCTACCTACCGGCTTGGACGGGGAAATCTCGCCATCTTGAGAGGAAGATTGGATCGTGTCAGAGGCCTGAATAACCACAGCTACAGCGACCACCAAGCAGCTGTGACCCCCAGAACGCTGATCCCAGGCGGCGCGAACACAGGCTCACAGGAGTGCCCCACCACACGGCGAAAAGGTCAGATTTTGCGGTGAGAGGGTGAGTGAGCCTGCGCCCACAGGGCGCGGGAGCTGGAGGACAGGGGCGGTGATTACAAGTAGAAGCCCCGGCTGTTGGGCAGGGGTCATCGGTGAAAGTGGACGGGGCTCCTAACAGGGGAGATATCTGAGGAGCAACACATTTGGATCTGGCTCGGAGGGATATCGGAGAGTTGCGGGAGACTGCATTTGGCTCGGACTTGCCCCCTCCCCCCTCCATAAGTCAGTGCCAGAGAGGGGGGGAAAAAAAAAAGCTGGAGAGGCTTTAGAGCCTGGGAAGTCAACCTAGAAACACTGCCACCCAGAGGCTAATTCACAAATTGACTCTAGTGTAATAAAAGCAAGAACTGCTTAAAAATCAGGTCTGGATTACAATAGAGGAAGCGAATGACCTGCATCACTGCAAATTTTATTTAAATTAAATTTTTTTTTTTAATTTTCTAATTTTTGTCTTTTATTTTTATTTTTTAAATATATATTTTATTGTTTATTTACACAGAGGAAGAGAGACAGAGAGAAACATTGATGAGTGAGAGACATCGATCAGCTACCTCTTGCACACCCCCTACTGGGGATGTGCCCGTAACCAAGGTACATGCCCTTGACTGGAATCGAACCTGGGACCTTTACAGTCCTCAGGCCGACGCTCTATCCACTGAGCCAAACTGGTCTCCACTTGTCTTTTATTTTTGTTGTAGTTATTTGCAACGTTTACCCAAGAAACTATTTTTTTTCTTTTTCCTCAATTTTACCTTTATAATTATTACATTGTATACATAATCAACATTATTACTACTACTATTTTACCTTTTTTATCATTATTTTGTTTATTTTTATTATACTTATTTTATTTTTTTATTTCAGGATTACTGTTTTACAGTCTATATCTATCTTTGCTTCCCCACCACTTTATTCTATCTCAACCCTATCTTTATGCCTTCACTATCTTTCTAACCTCTTCCTTTGGTGCTCTGTTCATCTTAACCTTTTCCTGCTCTAGATTTTCCCCATTCTTTCTCTTTACCCCCTTCTAAAATTTCACCCTACTTGTGTATATCTAATTTCCAACCCCCTGCTCCAAGCCCATGCACACCTCCCTCGTCACTGTCCTAAAAACAAACAAAAAAAAACAATCATTCTATCTCTTTGTAGTTGTATGTTGAATGTTAACTATATTGAAGTTGTATGCTTTTTTAAAAAATATATTTTATTGATTTCTTTTTTTGCCCCCCTCCCTCCCATACATACTCTCCCTTCCAAGAGTTTTATGTCCATTGGTTGTACTTATGTGCATGTTGTATGCTTTTTTTTATAAGATTGATTTGCCTATTCTTTTTGTTTGATTGTATGTTTTTCTTAGCTGGGTTCTAGTCACCTTTATTGGAGGTTATTAATATCGCAAACACATTTCTATTTAGTGCCTTGTGTGTTGTACCTGGTTGTGTTGTATTTTGTGCCTTTAAATCAAAGCGGGAGGGGAGGATCCAAGATGGCTGCTCGGGTAGACATCTAACTGCGGCAGCACACAACAATTTCAATGGAAATTAACTAAAATGTAGAGTGGACATTGCCCAGAGCTACAGGTAGTCGACTGACTGAAAACTCTACAACAAGAAGTAAAGAGAAAACCAGAGGGAAAATCAGAGGAGCTGAAAAAAAGCCTAAGGTACGGAGACATGCGGCGCACCCACCCACACGCGCGCGCGGACAGGTCGCAGCCGGAGAGGAGGAGAGGGCTGGGTGCTGCCTGGCATTCCCTAACAGGAAGGAAATAAAACCCCCAGCCTGGGCTGAACCCCCGAATCGGCAGCGCTGAGCCCGTTATGGGCCAGACCCTGGGGACCCAGGCTCCGGCAGGGGGAGACGGGGCTGTGAGGCG